TTGTCCATACGAATGGAACCATCACCGATTCGATGCCCCAAGAATAAGATCTCCGTTTGGGCGAAGTAGCATTTCTCCCTTTTTATGAACAAAGTGTTCTCCCTGAGAACCTTGAAAATTGTCCCAAGGTGCTGGACATGCTCCTCGAGCATTTGGCTGTATACGATGATATCGTTTAAGTAGACGACCATGAACTTATCCAAATACTCCTTGAATAGTTGGTTCATGAGAGTGCAGAACGTGGCCGGAGCATTGGTTAAGCCAAAAGGCATCACTAAGAACTCAAACGCTCCATACCTAGTCACACAGGTAGTCTTCGCTTCGTCGCCTTCAGCGATGCGCACCTGCCAATACCCCGACCGAAGGTCGAGTTTCGAGAAATACTTGGCTTTGCCCAACTGGTGAAAAAGTCTGCGATGAGCGGGATGGGATACTTGTTCTTCACTATCACTTTGTTAAGGGCTCGGTAATCGATGCATAGTCGGATGCTCCCATCTTGTTTCTTTTGGAAGAGAATTAGAGCTCCGAAAGGTGCTTTAGAGCTACGGATGAGACCACCGCTTAGCAGTTCACCTAATTGCTTTCTGAGTTCTGCCAACTTTGGCAGGGACATGTGGTAGGGTGGTCTCGCTGGAGGTTTCACTCCTGGCTCTAGCTCGATGCTGTGATCCACGCCTCTGCGTGGTGGAAGAGTCTTTGGTAACTTGGGTGGCAGAATGTCATTGAACTCTTTCAGAACGTTCGCCACCACAGTAGGTTCTTGAATGGCCTTCTCGTCGAGTGGCTCTAGCTTCATAGCAACCACGAATGTTAATTCACCTTTTCGCACCCCTTTCTTCAATTGTAATGCCGATGTGTGTTGGGGTTCCTTGGTTCCTCTCCGAGAGACATGAACCACACAGGGGTCGTCACCTCCCATCATACACAGTGAGTTCAAGAACGACATTGGCACCAACTTCGCCGCGTGCATAAACTCCATTCCAAGAATCACTTGGAAGTCATCCAGTAGCACTGCCATCATGTTGGTGTTCCCGCTCCATGTCTCGATTTTGATGGGAACCAACCCGGAGATTCGCCTGGCCTCCGAGTTCACCGCCTTCATTCGGCTTGGGCTCTTCTCCAAGATCAACCCAAGTCGCTATGCTTCTCGATCGGCTATGAAGTTGTGGGTAGAGCCCGTGTCCACCATTGCATGGGTCGTTTGGCTATTTAGCTTGATGTCCACATACATCAGTTCACTACTTCCTGCTTTTTGTAGCTTTGTCTTCATGTTCTCCCCCACTTGACCCTGCATGGCGTTCAACAAACGCATTGCTCCCATCCGGGGTCCTTGTGACTCCTCGTCGTCGCTGTTGGATTCAGAACTACTCGAACTAAGAGCAACAGCTTTGCCCTTGTCTGGTCGGGGGGGGGGGAGGATGGAAGCCGTCAAAGCATTGAGTGCTTGTTTTTGTGGGCACTCCCTCACCATGTGCAATCCTCCGCACAAGAAGCATCATCCAGGTTTTGAGGCCTTGCCTTTCGGGTTTGGCCCTTTGTGGGAACTCTTCTTCTTTTGTTCGCCCCCGAGCTCCTTCCCTCGAGAATATTTTGGAGGGTGATTGCCTGAAGATTGTTTCCTTCTCCCTGGGTCTTCGGAGGAAACAAAGTCAGTGAGCCTTTCTGCAGCAACAATTGCCCCGACCACATTGGTAGCATTCCTTCGATTTAGTTCCTATTGAGCCCATGGCTTCAAACCATCGAGGAAGCTGAATAGCTTGTCCTTCTCGGACATGTCCTGTATGTCCAGCATTAGTGCAGAAAATTGTTTCACATAGTCTCGGATGGTGGTACTCTGGCGGAGTTGTCTCAACTTCCTTCTTGCGACAAACTCTGTATTCTCCAGTAGGAACTGAGTTCTCAACTGCCGCTTCAAGTCCTCCCAAGTGTCAACCCGACACCGACCTTGTTGGATCTCCTCCCAACGGGTTCGCCACCAAAGTTTCGCATCTCCGATCAGATACATTGTTGCTATAGAAACTTTGGTATCTTTAGAATCGGGCCTCGTAGCTCGAAAGTATTGTTCCATGTCGAACAGAAAGTTCTCGAGCTCTTTGGCATCTTTGGCCCCTCCATATCCATGAGGCTCGGGTGCCCTCAAGTTTTATGGTGGTGCAACGCGGGTGTTGCTTCCTCCTGCATTTAGTGCTCTAGTGAGCATAGTCACCCTTGAAGTGAGTTCTGCCATAACTTCCTGCAGGTGTTGCACGGAGTCTTTGGTGTCGTCTGACAGTCGATCGACTAGGGTCTCGACCTTGTCGATCCTGGACTCCGCTTCCTCTTGCGAGCACTCTACCCCGACAAGCCTTTGTTTGCCATGGTAGAGTTCCTCCATGCTCGCTTCAAGAACATCTAGGCGGGTTTCCGCTGTTGTGAGTCTCTCCTTGTGACTCTTTTTCCCAGTTAGCACTCCAGATTACGCTTCCTCCACTCGTGGAGAGTAACCAACTTCTCGCTCATCATGTTCGCTGCCGCACTCCTCTTGAGCAGCTCCAACAGCATGAGAGCGAGTGTGCACATGCAGCCCACCTACGGCTGCTTGGGGCAAGGGTCCGGCTTGCCCCGTCTTGCTTGATTCGTCACGATGCTTTGCCATGGCGAAGTTACGAAGTTTCTTCGCTGCTCGCTCGAAGTGCTTGCCCGCTCTGATACCACAATGTCATGGCCTTAGTTGGAATTGCCTAAGGCGTGAGGCACCCTTGCGCCCGAGACGCGAACTTAGCTTGCGTTGCCTAAGTCGCAGAGCACCCTTGCGGCAAAGACGCGAACTTAGCTTGCATTGCCTAAGTCACGCTTCGCCCTTGCAATTTGCGTCCGCAAAGATCAGCCCACTTGTAACCTCTCGCAGGTCCCGAAGGACTTGTAAAAGAGAAAGTTGGTTAGTTCGAAGAATGAGCGATGGACAAGTCCTGACGTCTCGCAAAAAGGGGAAACTTTATAAGCAATTTAACGAGCACCTTGTGTGCACAAGAGAAAAGAGGGAGAGGGGGGAAAACAAGGGCTTTAGAAGGTTGAACGAACAGCTGCAAGCCCACAAACAGTTGCTCTCTGAGTCCTTGGCGTGACAACAAGTTCCCGTCAAGGCAACATGCAAACTTGTGAAGGAGTGTTCAACTCCCGGTACTATACCGAAGCCCCATCCAGCCCTATGCCACCCGGGGGGTTCCAAGGGGCTGAGATGGCTGACGTTTTGGTGAGCGAAGGCGGATTCCAGAAATCAGCCCGCGGCATACGAAAACGAAGCTGTTTTGGGGCTGTTTTGCTCGGTTCGGTGAGCGGGCATCGCTTTGTAACGCTGTAGCATGTTCGAACTTACATTTTTACAAGCAAAATGACTCAAAACCAAGGCAAAACAGGCTACCAATTAGCTGTACATATAGATGAGAGCGACGAACGGTTCGTTGAATAGAGTTGTTGCGGTTGCGCGACGACCATTCGTGACACAAGTGGGGTAATTATAGGCCTCAAATGGTTTTAAAAATGGAGCAAAAAATTTAAATTTTCAGGTCTTCCGGGTGCAAGCAGTACCATTGCCTTCAATATGCGGTACCACCGCCTGTAGCCTGATATTGGGCGATACCACCAGCTAGTTTGGTGGTACCATTGCCTGACACACTATCACTGGGTGGTACCACCGCCCAGTCTGATGGTACCACAACTTGACAGCCTCGGAGACCGAGTTTTTCGAGTTTTCCAACTCACAAGCGGTTCCATCGCCTATTCTGTCGGTGCCACCGCCTGACCCAACTTTTGGGTCACCGAATGTGCCTCCCAATGAGCCCAATCAGTCTCAATTAAGGTACAATTGACCCTTAATTAAGTTAGCATGATTACACCAAAAGCATACTCAATTAGCCCCCTAAACTACTTTGATCTTAGACAAATGATTAAAAAGCATGAATCATTTGTCTGGCATATCATTGGTTTATCCGACGCTCGTCCGATCTTTCGACACATCATCCTCTCCTTCGGCATATTGCCCAATCGGCATGTTGACTCCCGCAACTTCCAATCTCCTTAGCACAATGTCCGATACTTTAGCCCGATGCCCGAATTCATGGCATGAAGCCTTCTGTCGACATGTCGACCGATCCTCCTGCCCGATGTCCAATCTTCTAACATGTTCATGCTAGCTCAATGTCTGATTCCTCCTGCTTTAATCAATTTGCCTCTTCTTGATCGAATCTAGTCTTACGTCACTCAAAGTACATATTAGATTATAAACTGATCAACTGATTTCATCATCAAAATTCGAGATTCAATAGATATTATAATTGATATTCTTATTTATATAATAAAAGTTAATTGAATGTGAATAATAAGATTATCTTATTAAAATAAACTAATAGTGTTGTAGTATATAAAAATAAAAAGAAGTATAACATTAACGATATATAATCGTTATGACAATATTTAGTAGTTAAACTTAATATAGTATTATTATATTAATTAAAATTTTTAGCTTGTTTTTAAATTCATGCATATAAATATATATTTTTTAAATTTTAGAATTCAATTGAGTAAAATTATTTAAACCCAAATTTAAATAACATTGATAAAGTTGATTCTTATATAGTTATTCAAAATAATATTTTTAGTTAATTTTGTCACAAGATTTTGAAAGATAAATTATACTTTGTATCATACTAGATTTTAATTAAAATTAAAAATCATAGAATAAATTATATTACAATATGATTTCAAATTAATTGTGTGAGTACAAGGATAAATAAAAATATATAATTTATTATCTGTCTAGTCTATTGTCTTGTTGTCTAGAACTATTTTCAAAGATATCTTCCAACAGAATAATCTCATAAACGTCAATTTGATAAAATGAGAAAAAGTCAGAAAAACATAAACTGCATCATCCTGTTTGCTTAAGTTGAAAAATAACATACGAGTGAATCAATATTTTTTTGGTGACCATTATTTATCAATCAAAATTGAAGCAAGCGGCTTTTTTATAGAGACTTGGGAGATGCTAAGCATCACATAATAATGTCGAAGAGGGTGGGGGATGAGGAAGATTAGCAAGAGACAAATTTAATGATATGAACATTTACAACGCTGGTAAGATTGAAAAGAAGAAGACCTCTCCACAGATTTTTTTACGCGATCACAAATTTGGGGCGGTTCAGATGTACTGCAGCCGTTGTTCTAATCATTTCCTGGAGTCGTTCATTACCGATATCCAGGTAGACTTCCTTGAGACTGTGGAGATGTTGCATCCCTGAGATGCTTTGGTCACCGAAGTGGCCGATTAATTTCAACCACTCGAGATTTGGCAGTGCTCCTTCTCGGAAACTCACGTCCACGGATTCCATGTGCAATAACTTCAAGCCTTTAAATCCATTATGGTCGAAGACTAGTTGTTCGTCGCATTCATCGAGTGAATTATATCCAAGTACTAGTTGGGCAAGTGCGGGGAGATTTTTCAAGACTCGTACAGCATCTCGCATTAGGAACGTGAACCGTAGTGTTATCTTGACAATCCTGTTTAGCGATGCGACCCAAACCGGCAAAGTTTGGAGAAAGCCCACGAGCTGTATGTCATGGAGGAGCAAGGGCGGTCTATGTAGGTTGTTTAGAATCTGACCCAGGCCATTGCCGTTGTCAAGAATGGTTAAGGAACGAAGGCAACTGTCGAGCTTCGAAAGCAAGTCGACGAAGTGCTCCTTTCGTCGGGTGTATTCAGGACCGATATGTACGACCCTTCGTACGTATCTTACGGTAACATCGATGCTTAGCTTCTGAAGCTGGGTTAGCTTGCCTATCTGCCGCAGCACAATCGAGTTGGTAACAGTTATTAGTCCCAAATTTCGCAGCCCTTTCATCTTCCCTACTCCTGTCGGCATCCTCAAACTCTCATAGGACCAACTGCCGGAAAACTCGACTCTGTTAGCTTCAAAATGGAATTTGGTGCCCGCGAGAAGATAGGCCAACTTCTTGAGTTTGACAGCCGCACCGGGGAACTTCTTGATGCCTGTTCCTCTGATGTCCAGAGTCTGCAGGTTCGGCAGGTCTCCGATCGAATCTGGAAGCTTCTCTACAGAAGAGTTTCTCAGAGATAGGAAGCTCAAAAGAAACAACTGGGAGATGTTCTTGAGGTGATTGTGACGGAGACCCTTGCATCCTTGCAAGTCCAACACCCTCAGTAGTCTCGTCCTTCCATAGTTGTGGAATGGTATGCCGTCACCAAACACGGTGAG